TCCTATGGGGGGAAAGGGATTGTTAGTAATGGAGACTGAGAATCCCATTACTAGCAATATACCCAATCTGGTCGACCTCCTCGCGGTTCTCCCTGGAAACTATCATGGTTAATTCCTGATGAATTCATCATGATGGGCTAACTGGCCTGTTTTCATTCTCATCTATCACCCTTCATAAAAAAAAAAACATCAAATGTCATCAAATTTCAAGAGGGTGGGAAAGTCAGCTTGAAAGGGGGGGGGGGGATAGAGGGAGTAGTACTCATTTCGTGACAAAACTCATTGTTATATCATTTTAGTCTCTCATTTGAACCCTCATGTTAGAATACCTATAATATATGTAGGTACAGTTATAATGTCACAAATAAACACTCACTTTCTAGATTTTGTATTTATAATTTGTTAGATAAGTGTTAAGTAAGTAATATTTTTTATATTAATCTGTAATATATTAATTGACTGTAATCTGCATTAAAAATTAAACTAATAACCAAATCTACGGAACTTGGAAACACAAAGCTATGATAGGCATCTTAATAGTCATGCTTATCGGCACTTGGTGGAATTTTATGCATATTGATATTATTAGAAAACATTTGTAATCTTCCAAATAAACCCGACTGCGTTTCCCTGTCATCCTTAAATTGATTGCAGGGGGAAAATGAGTATAAAAATTAACCTTTGAAAATGCCTAAACGGGGAAACCGGATTATTATAAAACAATCACTAATAATATCAACATATACGATAGGAAGTTTACTAATATTTGCTCTACAATCATGAATCGCTCAGTTATTTTAAGTACTAGGAGAAGGGGATTATTAGTAATGGGGTTCAGGAGCTCTGTTGCCTTGTACCTAATGTCCATCCATCCGTCCAGGATGACAACGTCGTCTCTCGTGAAAATCATCTTGATTGTTTCTTGGTGTATTCGTTTTGATAAGCCAACTGACCTATCCACCTACATTAGCATTTCGACAGCATATACCAAAAAGCTATCATTACTACTCTAAATTCTTAGTTTATAATTAATATTCCACTTATAAAATATATGTAAAAAATTGTGACTTGGTAGTCGCACATTACAAATGTTTAATTGCTTACATATTTCTTCTCGATTCGCTGATAAGCTGGTGTCAGATTCATACGTTCGTTACAAGTTTATGATTACATTTTCTGCTAAGTTTGTCAAGTCACAATATATTCTGTCTATAGAATCACAATTTATTGATTATTTTATGACAAAATTTGAGAAATAATTTATGGTATTCCATAGTAGAGTCAATGCTCTATATGACATTTTACAAATTATTACTATTATGTAAAAAATATATTATGTAAGTATAGTTTTAAATATGAGATTTATTGGTATGCTTTAATTTTCTTGGTATGAATTATTAGGTAATTGACTCATCAATGTAAAGACGACATTCCTAAACATAAATGTATATCTTAAAAATTTGTATGTTTTCTTTTGTGTGTTATGTAAACTAATAATTAATTATTGTATATATAGTTATAGTAATATTCTATTCCTAAATAGTTAATGGATTTTAATTACACATTGATGATACATGATACCTTTAACTTAAAACCTTAAGTTTATTAACAATAACGAATAATGATATGTTTCATACGAGTATTATTAGCTTTTTTTATGAAAAATGTCAATTTCTTGTTGTCATTTAAAATTATCTATACCTAATAGATCCTTTTACTTAATAGATTCAGTAGGGCATTCTTTAATTACTCTACTATTTTTAAAGGTAAACTATCGATTTTGATGTAGTTTTTGCGTTGTTATTTTAATCTAAAAGTATTAATACGATTTCATGGGCTCTTATTCTATTCTAGCTATGAAACAGTCCGCAAGCTCTTTAGAATATTAAGTTCTTTAAAATAAGGAAAGCATAGTCTATGTCTAATTTAAAATCTTAGAGGCCTTTCTCATCATTTCACCGTCTATAAACTTTAGTCTTCAGTTGGCTCAAGAATTATAATTATGTTTACAATTTGAACATAGTATATTAAAATTGAGAATAAAATATTAAACTACACTAGAAGTTTATTAAAATCAATGCGTCAGTGAATAACAAGTGTATGTTACACAACTCAAATAGTTCAGGAAATGTTTTCTATAGTGGTCGTGATCGTTAAAAAACGAGTTTATTTTTTCCCTGCGACTGAGCGTGGCAAATCGTCCGATGGCCCTAGCCGAAGAGTTCAAATGGGCTCTAGCTATAAGTACTCTTGATGGTATGATGTTAAGCAAATTGCTTACATTCCGTACTCTTAGTTTTTTAAATGTTAACGTACTATACGAGAAAAGAAATTGATTTATTTGTCGACTTACAGCCGACAGCAGAAATAAAATATAATTGTAATTTTTTTATGCAATTTAGAATGGCAAACAAGCTGACGGCTCACCTGATGGAAAGTGATAACCATTGCCTATAGACATGAGCAGTACCATGGACATAACAGAGTATACTGTTTCGCCAATGATACCCCCTTTGCGTTGCCATTCCTGAGAACACAGATGTTATTTCTCTGTACCCTGTAAATTCACTGCCATATCCCATTCTTTAAACAGAAACACAGCCATGCAAACAAAAATTGTATTTTGTCATACTCATTCAGATAATATTCAGGAAACCCACACGAAATCATAGAAATAACTTCGATAGCGTGTTATGTAAATAGTAATGCAAATTTTGTTGAAATGAAAGATCTGTTATTACTTACGGTAAGTGCATTCTTGATAATAGAATGTTTTATAAACAATATAAAACATTTTATTATCAAGAATATAACTATTTAAGTTCGTCATAATTTTTATTTAAGTAAGGTTTTTTTTTTGATGAGTGAAAATGGGATGGTAACTCATCCTGCGCTAACGGGATACGCTGGCGGAGCACCAGTGAAGGGTGATAGATGAGAATGAAAACAGGCCAGTTAGCCCATCATGATGAATTCGTCAGAAATTAACCATGATAGTTTCCAGGGAGAACCGCGAGGAGGTCGACCTGGTTGGGTATATTGCTAGCAATAGGATTCTCAGTCTCCATTTCTAACAATCCCTTTCTCCCCTTTTAGTATGATTATCATCGTCATCTTTCGTGACATTATTAAAGTAGCGCTCATTTATGATTGTAATATTTCCGAATTCATGACAGCCGTGAAGGATAAATAAAATCTCGACTGCTCTCCGCTCAGTTATCATATTTTTCTTGAATTTCTTGATTGTATATATTTCCTTAGTAACAAAGGCTCAAGTTAACATTATCGCTATTGAGTTTTACTTTTCGCAAGATTGTAGAATTCGCTGTTGTAATATATAATCAGAAAAAAGAATCTTATTGTATTCTTTTACTATATGTAATACCTACAATTATTTTATGATTACAGAGAAACCATACCTATATAATGTAACATATGGCTTGGGAACCACCAGTTAGGCTTATCTATTACCAATTTCTAGAACACCTTCTCCCTCCATCCCATGTAGCACATATATAAATAATTCCGCAGTATGGTTAGGCCATTCGGGCGCTATAAGGTAACAAATAAAAAAACTTACTTTCACATTTATAATATTAGTAAGGATTCCGTTACCATGCCATTCTAAGATGTATAAAAAAAAAAAAAACTATATGGAGTTTTTACTTACAATAAAAGTGACACAAACTAGTACGGGATTTTAAATATTTATTTAAAAAACCTAACTTGCCTGACATATTTATCGAAGCTTTCGAACACATTTTGGACATTTCCACTAATGACGTTAAATGTTATTTTATCAGGGTCCAGAGATAAAAGGCGAATTTGTATTTATAGCAATGTCGCTTTGTGGTTAAATGTTAAAATGTACCTACAACCAGCATCAAATTACTAGTAAGAAAAGAAATTTCCGCTTCATTACGCATCATTTAAATGTTTCACGAGCTGTCTTGGATACGCAGCTATTTTCTTAGTATGCATGCTGAACCGGTTTTAGAATCTAACCATTACAAAACTGCTGGAAAATCCCTATACTAGATAGTGAATAGCTAGTTTTATATTTATGGTAGGATATAAACTGTACAATAAATACCTAGTACGTAATTACTTGATTAAACTCATTGATATGTTCGTGGAAATACAAACCGGCATTAATTTCGTATCAAAACAAGAGCGCTATCCGTAAGTCGTTAGGTAGAGCTACGTAATAGATTAACATATTGAATTTTTTGAACTGATTGAGTTCCAAGAAGACAGACCAATTGCATCATGAGCTTACGTGGCGATGCGATAGATCTGAAGCCGATGGCGACTGCCACACGCAGGCAAGATTCGGTGGCAACGTTCACGCAGGAATTCATTTCGTCTCGAGAAGTGTCCGGTTTCAGTCTGGCACGACGAGCGCTCATATTGCATTTAGTATTTATTTATGTATCGGTCGGGCGCAGGTTCTATCGGAGTCGGCGGCGCCGCGGGCGGAGCACGGCCCAGGGGGGCATACTTACTACGTGATTAATCCTCGTCCCCCCGCCCTCACACTCTGGTCCGTGGCCGGGCGCTCCGTACTCGCGCCGGGTTTCCTCGTCCCCGCTCCTCACGGCCACTCACTACGCACGGGGCTCCGCGTAGTGCCGCCGTCAGTCGCGCTGCGACCTGCGCCATTGTCGCACTACGTTTGTGTCTGCCTTTTCGCGATAACCGTGATATCATTCATGTTAATCTCCGGCCGTTGATTTTCCTGCCGAGTGACCGCAGTGGAACCAGCGCGCTGTATCGCGAGTGCCGAATGTTCGTGGACGTCACGCCCGTGTACTTTTCCATCGGATCCCGAGTTCACGAAACCAGTTCGGTGAGGCGGACGTCGCCTTTCCTCGGATGAGATCTTCGAGTGGCGAGCGTTGCTGTGATCTACGGCCTGCGATGCTGCGCCCGTGACCGTCTTGCGACAGTGCCACGAAAAGTAAGGATCAGTCCAACTGTCCGTTCATTCGGGTGGCTCGCGTGTTCGGGCTGCCTTCCTATTTGCATGGCGCATACGAGTGGATTTTATTTTTGTCTGGCGGCAGATGTGTGTGTAGAGCGAGTGTGTGTGAGCCTTGGTTAGTGTGCGCGATGGGTGTGTGTGCGCGTCGCGTTCCGCGTTCACCGAGACGGCTACTCCCTGCTGGCCTGCTTTATTTAGGTTGTTTCTGAGCATACTGGCAACGCTAGGCCTGGCGCCCGCCGCCGCCACCGTCACCACCTCCTGCTGCCGTCACTGGAGGCCTGCTGTTACCTGTGCCATTTTAAAACTATAATCATTATCTTCGTGTTGACAGATGTAGTACTAAACAAATAGTTGTTCTTGTTGTGTTTTGAATTTGTTTTTTCCTAGAGTTACTATATTTTATCTACTTCTTACCTAACTATTGCGGGAGTAAAGGAAATTATATGCAGATTCCAATTAAATGAATAAATTCGTGCAACATAAACGGAACAAAACATGTTTACCGGAGCTAAAGGTAGGTACTGAAGCTTTAGATAAATTGAGTTAGATAATATACTGATAGTAGTAATAGAATCGAAGTGCATATATACACACAACATACATACTACAAATGTTATAGTTTCTTACCAACTACTATTTTACTTAATAACTAAGTTATGTAACTACTTACTATGTAAATACTCGTCGAGTACATTCTCAGTAGCAATAGTTTCTATATCATCACTGTACCTAGACAATTTTTTTTAAATAGTTTAAAATTCTATTACATTTACCAATATTTATAAATAAATATAGCAAATTCTTCAAGCATACCATTGTAGAAGGTAGAAATTATTAGGAAATCTGTAGTAAAACCTACACGTTGAAATTTCTCAAAATGTAGAGTCTCCGTTAAGAGCGTTCATCCGGATCGAAATATAGTTGCTTAGGTTTGCATTATTTGTCAATTTTCTGTAAATAATAATTTTTGATATTTCTAATTTATCAAAAAGTATCAATTAATAAACGACATTGTAATACTCTAACCCCTTATTCGTTAAAACTGAAACCATATTTATTATAACTAAAGCATTATTTTGTCCTTTTTTTTTCCAAACTGGAAATTTAGCTCAAAAGGAAAAAAGATAAAATAGTTCAATAGCTTTATGAGAGGTTTGACATTTTTATGAATAATGTAATTTCATTAATACAGATTGTCTTTAAGTGTTAAAATGAGATGAAGTTCTGAAAGATCAAAATGGAATGGTAATACTTCTTGCACTGTTGAAGTGTAGTACGAGTATACTAGCAGGACACCGGTGAAGGATGATAAGTCAAAATGACGGATGACGGAAGGATTAACGAGAAATCATGACGGTTTCAAAAGGAAACTGCGTGGAGGTATATAAATTATTAGAAATGTATCCGATAAGTTATATTTCTAACATTGCAACTATTAGATACTATTATTGATATTTTTTCTATGTGCGCAAATGAAAATCCGTTCACGAAGAATCTACTAAACATTTGTCCATATAAATAGAACACTTAAAATTACATTGCACAACACACACACAAGAGACTAAAAGTACTGTTCTCGGAATTTTCTCTTTGTAGGTGTTTATTGTAATAAAGTTGACTCTAAAAGTTACCTAAGTCAATATGTATAGAGTATTTGTCGAAAAAAGGAAACTATTACATCCGGATTCATACACACATGCGAAAAGAGGGTTTTCTAAAATAAATCGTGAGTTCGACTTTACAGGACTGGTTGCGAATGTGACTTGCAAGTGCAAGCGTTACAGATAGTTATGCAAATCAACACACAAGTTGTTGTCGGTAGATCCGTACGTGAAACAGGTTTTTTACAAATCGCTTTTGGCATAATCTGTCTATTATCGTTCACACTATTTATCTACTTATAAAAATAAATTATATCTATTGATAGTGTTTTAAGCGTAAATGCCTATTCTACTTATTTTGGATAAGTCAGTAATTTCAATTACAATTTATAAATGATAAGAACTAATTTATGATCTATATTTATGACGACTGTGTTGTATTATAATTTTTTAGTTTGATAAATTTTATTATGACACATCTCAGAATTCGCATTTTAGTTTTTCGTGCTCCCAATATTTTTATTTTTAAGAAGCTTTTGTATCAAATTTGTATGTATTTATATCAAATTTCCTTCCTTTATTATATAGATATATTTTCTATTATATATAATATGACCCGCTTCTTAGTCATTGTTTAATCTCTCTCATTCCTCCATTTATTTTTAAGACCAATATCCTTCACTGTCTATTTACTATACTTTCTTTAAAGTTTTGTAACATCTTTTTTAACTAAAAAAAACTCATCCATAATGTGTATGTACCAAGATACCTCATTCTACATTTCTCGTGATTACGTCTCCCTTTCAGAACAATACAATCTTGTAAGTACCTTCGTTCTGGCATCATTATATTATAATTTTTGAATACCACCTTGGTACACTCGTACGTCTATGACAAAATTTAACCTCTAAATTACCTTTAAGCCTTAAATCTTGATTATCTTAAAGCTTCTTGTGGTATAAATATGGTCTGGATTTCTTAAAGTCGATATTTTTATTTAGATATTTATGGGCATGTCTGTTAATCAACTGACAATTGCAATGCACATAATAGCATCTACCAATTTTAGGTATATATATTATACGGTCATGTCCTTTATGTCTGTCTATGTATTTTATGATTTATTTGCTTTTCATTTATTTCACTTACTATTTCAACATTAACATTCACATGTACTAAATATTGTCTGTCCATACATTCAACTCAAGAGCTTCATAATTTTTTTTTTATATTACAGTCCCTTAACTCCACACTTTTTTATTCTTATTTTTATGTATCATTCTATGTAAAATAAACATATCTAATAATTGCTTATTATGCCAAAGTGTTTGAACTGATTATGTATGTATATGTGGATTGATAATCTTTTAGAATCGTTATTTTCAGTAAATACCTACCTACTTTGTTATTATTGAATGATAAAATAGTAATGTTAATTACTTGTTTACGTAGTTGTAAATTACAATCAAACAGATAATCGAGTTATTAAAATATTTTAATAGATAAAAATACTATTAATTAAACTTGTAATAGTTATAAAGGTTAGAAACAATTTAGACCAAAAAAGATATTCAAAGGTGTATGAACTTTTATAGCATTGGCTGAGAGGGCTACTACATTAGGATCCCAGTTAATTAATACATCTCTAATAGTGATCATACAATTAACACATATCTGTAGCTGATAAGTATAAAATTAGGAAATTAGTAATTTCTTATATAACGTAAGTGATTACTGATTAAGATGGGACTGAATTCAAAGCAACTGTTGGACATATAAATAAGACACGAGCGTTTTACAAATATACTTAATAAATATGTATATTACCGAAATAACTTAATTATGAAGACACAAAAGATAATGTTAATACTGTTGCAGACATTTTACTACAATACTATATTAATTGTATTGTAATTAATCATTTAAAATTAGAACAAATAGGAAAAGTACGCGGCGCGGTCGGTAATAAAGTAGTCCTGATAAACTTCGACCCCCGAGTACGTTGCTACAAATAATTACAGCAATTACTTCTTATCGTATTTGCCATAAGATTCAAAGTTAAACAAAAAGCTCAATTGGTTGAAGTGTGTGACATGACAATATTCCGTAAACAATAATGTTACAAAACTAAGCAAAGAATATACCCTATACACTGTCTAAGCTACTTACCTAATAAAATTGATAATTTAATTATGTTGCGTTGAAGTTGTGAGTCATGTAATAGTTCATCTTTATTGTACGTGTTTTTTATATTAAATATCTCAAATCTACCAATAAAATATTTATCTATTTTATAATAACTTGCAACATAATATTACTGTATCATCCAAGGTACAACGCTACAGTCCTGTTCTCTACAGTCCTCAGAACCATTTGTTTAAAGATTAAACCTTAGATCGATATATTTTTATACCTATCCGGTTTCCTGCTTCTTCCATTTTGATATCATTATTATTCCTCTTAGTGATATGGTAATGGGAGAACTATAAATCAGGTGCATTGTTAACGTATTCATTCGTTAGTAACTATAGGAGAGCGTGGCTAGTAGGAAATGGTGACGCAGGTGTTATTCAGTTCTTGGAAAAAATTGTGATACGATGATATCTATCTGAGTAAGAATAAATTCCTCTTTGAATTAAATAAATATTATAAGGTAATACAAAATTATTTTGAGCACATTATTCTGTATAATAATACGATATTATACCGTTTCAGTCATTATTTTGATTAAATTCATATTTTTATCTATTATATTGTAAGAATGTAGGAAATTGGGCGAGTTTTTGATACTTCAGGATCCATATTGCGAAAGAGGCCCTTATTATGAATTATTTGCATTTAAGAAGCCCTCTTCAGTATCTACAGACATCTCATTTAATGGGACTATGGAATAGATAAGTTTGTTATATCATAATTATCATATCATTGAAGTATTGCGTCAAAATAACGCTAAACTTGTTTGTCTATATTTCTTTTGTTTTCTGGAGTTATCAATTGAAGTATATTTTCGTGTAAATGAAACTCGTTAAGATATAAAAGTCTTATATTAGGTACTTGCATTACCAGAGACATTACTTGCGTTTAAAAATCTGTGTGACTTAGTATATTTGATAATATTTTAAATAGTATACATATTAATATACATTTTAATAGTATATAAAACGTAACCCTGTTCGCATTCGGGAATCATAAATTTTCGCCATCGTAATTAGTTGTCGGAAGGTAATTTTTTCAACTTATTAAAAATAACAAATTAAATAATAATATTTCATACGTATATACATATCTGTCATGCCTGTCAAATACAAAAGAATAAATAATTCAGTAACCACTAATTTCGCGGTCGGATTACTGTGTGCGAAACCATTTTATGAAGAAATAAAAGAAAGACTGTTAAAAGTGACGACACTCCTGACTGTCTTCAGGCTCTTGCCTGCGAGTGTGGTTTAACTGTAACACAACCTCGATTTTTACAGTGGCAATCTCGAAAAATAAATTCTCCTAGTAATGAATCTTCAATAGTAGTGAATCTTAGAACATCAAACTAGAATGCAAAGGAGGTGTAAGTGTTAGGTGCAAGGTCAGACAAAAATTTTAATATAATAATTCTAATTATTCCTGTTTTGCTATTTGTCTCCAAATACCTGCACATAGTCGGTATCTGAGAAATATATAGCCATGTCCGTAGCGTGAAGCGTCCGATAGAGGGCTCACGGCGATACGGATACATAGTCGTTATCAGCTGGTTTGCTGTGCTACTTTACGTTCTTAATATACTATTCACTGTACCGCCGGCGATAACTCGAATCCAAACATTTACTTTTTACATTCATTTTACATATATATAATACATACATATCTTTCGTTGAAAGTATTCAATGAATTTACTCAAATACAAGTTCTGAATGGACTA